CTTCCTGGCCACCGTGGGGTGAGGATCAGTTTTGCCACATGCACGCTCCCCCTGCTGTGATACTCTGCTCACCTTCAACAACAGCCATCCAGCCAGACGTGGGGTGGCAACGTCAGGAGCCAGCAGCTAGCCCCCCCCGCCCCCCCCATCAACAGTGTCTTCCAAGGGTTTGTCACAGGACTGAGAGGGATGCTGGAGGCCTGTAGCTGTCCCTGCTTGATAAAGGCGAACATTTCAGATGTCTAAAGGGCTAGAGCTCTCTGAGCTAAGATGCGTGATGCAGACCTGCAGTCCCCACAGCTGACACGGGGGGGGGGGGGAGGCTCTTACCCAAAGATGAGGACCATGTACTGCATGCAGACCGCCGAGAGTAAAACCCCAAGAATCCAGACACGGCCGCTAACTCTTTTTTTTTTTAATGCCCAAAGTACAAATCAAGGTGGGAAGAAGGCACATGCTTGTAATGCCAACAGTTGGGAGTCTGAGGCAGGCAGAACTCCGTGAGTTCGAGGCCAGCTTGGTTTATATAGTGAGTTCCAGGACGGACAGCCAGGGCTACAGAGAAACCTTGTCTCTGAAAACAAGAACCACAAGCAACAACAACCCCTTCCTCCCCCCCAAAAAAGTTATAGTTTTTCCTGTCTTGTATTTTTCATCATGCTGGATGCCAGCATTGACACCCGCTCAGTCACTGACGCCCCCACCCCCATGGAAACAGATTCTCTGCAGCAGTGGAAACTGCTTTTGTAGCTGTAGTGACAGGATCCCCTGGAAGGACACCTCTATTTAACTGCCAAGTATTACCCCTCTCAGTTTCCATGTGACAGAAGCTCGCCGTGTTGAGTCACATGGCCTTGCACTGGGGCGTAATCTGGGGCCAGTGGAAAGCCACACCACGGCGCCCCGCCTGTCTTTTAAGCAGAGACTGTACCAAGCAGATAAACAAAGAGGACTCCTAGTTCCGATGTGAGAGACTGCTTTGGGAGGAAGACAGACCAAGAGCCTGCTCTGTTGTGTGTGTCTCTGGCCTCTGGGTGTTGACCCCTGCCCCAATCCTGGTCTGCGGACCTCCCCAGAGAGAGGGGAGACCTTGTTTTTCACTGACTTATTTTCCCCCTCCCCCCATGGGATTCTGTCATCCCTGGGCTACCTCACAGTATGGGAAAGAGGGACCCATCCCCTTCCTAAGCCTGGAATGCTTGCAGCCAGGGCTGAACCGGACGCAGAAAGCTCATCAAACCTCTAATTTTAACAACCGCCTAGTCATGAGCCCGACTACGGTTTCTACAGAATCGGGGCTTGATGCTCATTAGGCGAGGTCTGTGCTCCGGTGACGTCAGCGCAGTTGAAGGCAAGGACTGAGCGAGCTTTGCGTGTTTTTAAAACGTGTCTATTGGCAACACGCTTGACGGTTGCGGTGCCTTTACTGTCTCTCGTTGCCACGCAGGTAAGGTATGTTCCTTGTCATGAGAGCTCGACCTTCCTCATCTCCCATGACTGGTGTTCCCATGGCACCTGAACCCTGGGTGCACAATGGGATGCACCTGAGTTACTGCTCCTGCAGGCATAGCAGGTGACTGTCCTGTCCCCAAGATGTGGGATGGCATCATCCTGCCCCGAGGTGGGCCTTCGAGGTTCAGTGAGGATTCCTGGTGGGACATTCCCCAGCGAAACACCTTAGTGCCCCTTCTCTTCCCGGGTCTTGTCTCTGGCGGGTAGCTAGAGTCCCTTAGGCAGTTTTTATGCGGTGGTATGGCCTTGGCCTCTAGGGATGCACGCACAGGGGCTTTCCGTTTGAAGCCTTGGTGCTGAGCAATCTCTTGGCATCGTGGGCTAAGCCACCTTGCGGTCACACACCTGTTAGGCCTGCTAGCTGGCTCCCCCAAGAGGAAGCCGCTAGAAATGCGGGTAGGGAGTCAGGAGGCCCTGGCTATGAGGGTGTTGTACCTTTTGGTGTTCCCTCTGGCGGTTTCTCACAGTAGCAGGAAAACTAAGTTCGGAGCTAGCGGAGTTCCCAAGCAAGCTGAGAACTGCGGCTCCTAATACACTTTTGCGAAGTGTTGAGTTGTTGAGTTGAGTGGGCATCCCTGCGGCCAGCACACGTGACAGGAATACCTTCAGGGGGGAAGGCTTACTGTAGCTCACGGTTTGAGAGGGACTTCAGTCCACCGTGTCGGCGAGGCACGGAAGGAAAGCGTGGTGGCAGCAGTGCGAGGCATAGAGAAGACGCCGAGACCATGCACACATGGCAACAACCACACTCACAACAGATACACACACATGCACTCATGCACACACATGCACGCACACACACACACACACACACACGCTGTTAATGACTGAAAAGTGAGGTGGAAATCTGGGGCGCACTTTGCAAACGTTAGGATCTGTGACATCTCTGCCTTGCAACGGAATTTACTTCTGAACTTGGGGTTTAGGGGTTAACTTTGGTGCCGGCCTCCTGGCTTCTCACCTAGGTAGGAGGGTAGGAGAGGCACTGAGAGAGAGAGAGAGAGAGAGAGAGAGAGAGAGAGAGAGAGAGAGAGAGAGAGAGAGAGAGAGAGAGAGAGAGAGGAGAAACCGCTGTAGAAATGTCAGAAATGCAGAGTCACGCGACGACTCTGCGCCCAGGAGTGCTTGCTCACAGTTGCTGTGGGAAAATGTGCAGGGCCTGGGAAGATGACTGGGGGGGGGGGCGGTTAAAGTGCTTGTCCCACAAGCGTGAGGACCAGGCTTTGCATCCTCAGAAGCCGTGTAAGAGGTCAGGGGGGGGGGGGTGTAAGGAGCCCAATCGTGACTCCAGCACACGGAAGAGGAGCCAGAGAATCCCCGGGTCCAGTTGGCTAGACAGACTAGCGGAAACTGGTCTCACGGTGTTTCAGGGAGAGAGCCAACCTCAGTATCTAAGGTGGAGAGCAGTTGAGGAAGACATTGTGGCATCAGCCTCAGGACTCCACATGAGCACGCACATGAGAAACACACATATGCAAAAAAAAAAAAAAACCTGTACGGAATGTCTTACTCTGGTAGTTCACAGAGGGCTGTGACACCTGTGCTCCTCCTGCTCCTCCTCTGGCTTGCTGGTTTCTCGTTTGCTCCATCATGCGCAGGGTGCCTGATGCAGGGACAAGGCAAACTGGCCTCGTGAGGCAGCCAAGCGGCCTTTCCTAAGCCCCTGGACCTGAAGAGGACAGTGAGGGACCGTGCAGAGATACCCAGATATCTGGAGGGACACTCTGCAACCCTGCCCCAAGCCTTCCAGCAGAGAAAACCGTCCACAAGCCGGCAGCAGCTCTGTGAGCCCTGCCGTGTCACCTGCATGGCCTCCGGTGGGACCCACCTGGGGGAACTGGGTTAAGGCGCTGGGGGAATCTTCTTCTAGTTGGGTTGGAGGGGTCAGTATAGATGAGCTTGATCTCTTGTGCTGCACTGGCTGAACTGGAACTCATCCCATTGGGAACAAAATGAAATAACAGGACAGGTTTTTCTCACAACCGAGGGTGTGAGATGCTGTCACACCGTAAGAAAGGGGGTGTCCCCAGATTTCTCTGCACACTAGCAAGGGATGTGCTGGACAGTGTTACCTCTGGTCCAACAGATCTGTGATGGACAAGTTCTGACTGCTCATGCTGCCAGGCCCTGATTCTGACTGAAAAGACCAGGGATGCAGTTTGATACACTTGCAGCAATCAAAATGGTGCAAATCCGGTGCTCAGCTTCCCAGGAAGCTGATAGAAACAAAAGCAGGTTCCTACTAATAAGGGAGTACGTGCCGAGAGTGGGCCACTCTGATCAGGGAGAGACAGTGTGCACTGGGCCTTTTCCACTGGGTCCCATGGTTCCTCTGAGTTAAAAGGTCCCTCCCGTGCTCCCCTTGGAACACAGGTCCAGACAAGACCAAGTCTACATCGTGACCACAACACAGCCATGGCCCACAGACTGGTCTACACCATCGTCCATGGCCCATACGACACAGGATCCACAGTACTTATGACCAAGCAAGTGTATGAAGCGTGCCTGTTTCTTGGAGGTGGACGGTATTTGGGTAGGATGCTCGCACCAAACCCAGGGCTTGCCCATTCTAAGGAAGTGTTCTACTCCCGAACTACACTTCTGCCAGAGAAAAGGATTTTTAACTTTAATGTGTCACTCGCAATTACGACTGTGGCCCCTCTGTACATGCACACCACAATTTATAACACACACACACACAACACATAACATACACATACACAAACCACACATACCAAATGCACAGACACACCCACATACCATACACACAACACCATACACCCACACACCATATAACACACAGAATAACACACACACACACACAGGACACACAACTTGAAACTCTCATCAACACCATTTTACACTGAGCTCAAGAAACGTAACTACACACTGGAGTAAATGTTTTATCAGCCACACGGGTCTCGTTCCGCCCCTTGACGAGGTGGTAGCCATACCAGAATGCGCACCGCCCCTTGGTTCTGTCTGCCCTGGTCCAGCGCCCTCGGTATGGTACGGCAACGAGCTACATACGTGAGACAGTGGGCCTCACATTTGTGAAGACGGTTGCTTGGGCACTCATGGTCCCCTATTCCGTCCAGGACAACTCCCGGTTTCTGAGTTGGGAGAGAAGGTGGGTGAGCATGCCAGGTAACCCATCATTCCCGCTCCTTCCCTCCCTCCTCCTCCCCTCCCTCCTCCTCCCCTCCCTCCTCCTCCCCTCCCTTCTCCTCCTCCTCTGCCCTCTGCCATTTCCTATCAGCTGCCAAAATCCAAGCTCTTAAACACCACAGAGTTTCTGCCCAGTAACTTAAGTCACTTTGTGATCAATTAGACACAAATGATGCTAACATTGTACACACACACACACACACACACTAAAATGGCCTTAACTCGGATATTTCAAGGAGCCTGTTTAGGCATTTTAAATGTTTATCATCCCCCGAGAGGCTTTGTCACTTGTCTCTTTCTCTCTGGGTCATAGAGACATCATGACTTCACTGTCAGGTATGGATTTCTCAAAAATGACCTTGGTTCCCCTGGAAGTTTCAACCCTGGCTAGCCTGGAACTCAGTATGTAGACCAGGCTGGCCTGGAACATGCCCCTGCCTCCTAAGTGCCTAGCTCATTATCATTGCTTTGTTTTTGGTAACTGTCCTACAAATTCCCGCTTACCTGAATGGCCCCTGAGTGTGTCTGGTGGCCGCCTGCCCTAAGGTGGGAACTTGGAGAACTACCAGGTAGCTGGTCTATTGTCCTTACCCTTCCAGGCTGAGGAAACTCCTGGGACTCACACAGCACTGTTGCAACCGTCTGTGTGTGAGTGGGTGTCCGTGTGTACTCAGGCTGTGCGGGTGGGCACACCCTCATGGGTGTGTAGACAGCACACCTGGATCTAACTCATTAGGTTAAGCTGACTGGCCAGCGATCACCACTGTAGTAGTTGGATGTTTTTTATGGGGTGTCAGGGATCCAAACTTAGGTCCTCAAGCTTATGTGACTGACGCTCTAGTGACTCGCCAGTCCCTCCAATCTCTCAACCATTTTTTTAAAAAATGTGTTTAAATTCGTTTATCTATTTTTAAAAAATCAGCCTTCTTTTTTGTTACTAACTACTGTCCCTCCTTAACCAACTGTGCTGCTCACAGCGGAGGACTCCAATGAACACTCTGCAGAGTCTGGGTGTTGTGACTGCAAACATTTTTAGCCTGTCACTAGAAGGACATAATATACAGGTAAGTAGAGAGAGGACAGGGCCTGGGAGGAGCCAGGGGCCCTGGGGACAGAAACAGAACCCCCTGAGGGAGGGCAGGGACAGAGGGAACCACGCTGTCATCGTCCATCTCTCATCTGAAGCCGTTGCCTAACCCTGTCTGCGTGATCAATGTTTAGAAGAGGAAGCTCCCGGGTCCACCTTGAAGCTGCTGGTGTTCGGAGTGGATGAGGGCTCTCCCGGGGTTGTGCAGAGCGTCCTCCTGGAGCATGGGCGGGACCAGTTTGACGAGCCCCTGCTGCTATGGCACAAGATCAACCACATGGTCATTCTCACCGTCCAGGCCGTGGTCCCCTCCGTCCCCGTGGCCTACAACTGCTTTGAGCTCTTCGGGTTTGACATCCTGATCGACGACAACCTCAAACCGTGGCTTCTGGAAGTCAACTACAGCCCTGTTCTGTCCTTGGACTGTTCTCTGTGAAGAGAAGCCTCGTCCATGTCCACGATGTTATTGAACTCATTTACCTAAATGGCCTAAGGGGTGAGGACGGGAAGGGCGGCAGGGCTTCCCTGGCGAGCAGCTCCAAGGCCTCCTTTGGCCTGGGCGAGCAGCAGCCTGAGCTCTGCACGGCCCCGGGTTCCCTTCCCTAAGCCTCTCTCTTACCATTTGCAAGCAGGGCGTGCAGCAAAAGCAACCCCGCTGTACGGGGAGCCGTGGATGCCTGTCCCACGCACACGCGGACCTCCCAGCTGAGAGAGATGATGGGCAGGCAGCATGTGCTTGTGACCAGGGAGGCCGTCAAAAGAAAGCTGAGGCTCAGGGCTTGTCACATGCCCCGCAAGGTGCTCTCCCCGTATGCACCCTCAGCTCAGCCGCAGCCCCACAGGACCAAGGGGGGCCGTGGGCGTCCTCCCAGAAGCTGGCTCAGCACCAAACCACCGTGCTGGCAACTTTGTTCTCATTTTCCCTTTCAACGAGGCTACCCTCGGAGCCTCCAGGAATGGGTTAGATGTCAAAAGAATAATCCAAGAGCTCCAGAAACAAATGAATAAACAACTCTCAAGTGGTAAAAACTAAAATCGAGAAGTGAGGCGAAACTTTTGAAAACCAAGGGTTTCTTGTTTTTCAACCCTTTCTCTTTTTCTTCTTTTCATTTATTATTTTTTTGAGACAGGGTTTCTTTGTGGAGCCCTGGCTGTCCTGGAACTCATCTTGTAGACCAGCCTGTCCTGCGAACTCAGAGATCCGCCTGCTTCTGCTTCCTGGGTGCTGGGATTAAAGGATTTCTACCCTGGAGGAGACGGTAGGCTGAGCCCGTAGCATGCGCCCTTAGCACACAGCCTTGGTACCGGGTGCAGACGTGTGAACAGAAACTCCGAGGTTCCGCTAGGATGGCTCCGTCAAGCACTGACCACGCGGCTCTGTCCTGGCAGGTTTCTCAGATCGATCAGCGGTGTTATTAGTGACCACCTCTTAACTCAAGAGACACACACGCTGCTCAGCGTTATAATCAAGCCGTCTGTTCCTTGTAACAGAAAAACATGACTAGAGGGGTTTCCTATGTAAGACAGTGTAAAAATGACAGGAATTGCCTTTCATTTTCAATCAGCCATTGTTTGTTGAAATTCATTTTGGGGGGCTGGGAAGATGGCTCAGTGGGAACCCACATCTGATTCCCCAACACGAAGTCAGATGTGGCTGTACGTGCTTGCCATCCCAGAGCTGGAAGGGCTTCTGCAGGCAGATCACCTGGGTCTCCCTGGCTGACCACTGAAAAACCTCAATACGCTCCTCCCCCTCCTTTTTGAGACTCAGAAGGTCGCCTCAGTGGAAAATTCCCCAAGGTCCCTTCCCCTAGGCAGGGAACAAGGTCTGATTAGAAAGAACATCTGGCCAGGTGGTGGTGGTGCACGCCTTTAATCCCAGCACTCGGGAGGCAGAGGCAGGTGGGTCTCTGTGAGTTCGAGGCCAGGCTGGACCGACAGCGTCCAAAGCCACAGAGAAATCCTGTCTCGTTAAAACCAAAAAAAAAAAAAAAAAAAAAAAAAAAAAAAGAAGGAACATCGGGTCCAGAGTGCTGACGAAGGAAGCCGGCAGGCTGTAGAGATGAGTGCACACCTGACCTTGTGGTTTCTCCAGGGAGGATGAGTTAAGCCCGCGCTTCCGACAATCCCTATTGCTTGCCCAGATCTGCACCTGCAGTGGCTCCACTCCTTACAATACCCCTATTACTTTGCTTGCCAAAAGTATGTATTAAAAAGAAAACTGCCCTAGAGCCCTGCGCGTTCAGTTAGCTAAGGCTGCTGAATCGCCCACAGACGCCTGTGTAAACAATAAACCTCTTGCCGTTGCATCCAACTGTCTGGTTATTGAGATCGGGACGTCACCGGGGAATTCAGCCTGAAGCCTGAAAAACCTCAGGTCTTTCACAGCCTCACTGCATCAGTGAGCTCCAGGTCTCAGTGCAAGAGATTAACTGTCTCAAAACACAAGGTGGTCAGTTCCTGAGGAACAACACTTGAGGTTGACCTCTAGCCTCTACACACATGTTTGAGTGTGCACACACATGTATAGACACACACACATACATACCCACATGTGGGGACACCAGACCTTGAGCAGAGACCCACTTCCCCTTCTGCCTGGGAGTAGGCAGCTGTAAGACAATGTTTTACTAAAAACAGGTTTACTAAAAACAATACAATGCCCGGGGCAATAAGTTTCTGGAAAAGGCCTGCCCACGGAAACCGTCCTGACCTTGACCTTGTCCAAAGACTAACCGCACTTTCAGACCCACCCACATCCACCTCTGGGGTCAGAGCAGAACCAGCCAGGGGAGAGGAGAGAGCAGAAGCTTCTCTGGTGGGAGCCTTTCTTAGGAAGTTTTCTTGAGCCTTTTTGGGGCCTGTTTAAAGTTTTCTTTATATTGTTGAACGAGTCTCTGTGTTGTCAATCCCCGACACCCTCCACACGTTCTCGGACACAGGCTACACAGCAGGCGTGACACACACACACTCATGCCATCAGCACAAAGTCATTTAGGTTTTTTTTTTTTTTTTTTTTGGTTTTTCGAGACAGGGTTTCCCTGTGGCTTTGGAGGCCGTCCTGGAACTCGCTCGGTAGACCAGGCTGGTCTTGAACTCACAGTGATCCGCCTGCCTCTGCCTCCCGAGTGCTGGAATTAAAGGCAAAGTCATTTAGAATGCAGAGGATTACAGGAAACCCAGTCAGTTATAGATCCCGAGTCCTAAATCAGGCCCTGTGCAAACAGCTACCCAGACGGATGTCTCCGTGGTTCCGTCCAGTTGACACAACATGAACCATCACACGGACAGTGAGTTCCTGGGGCTCAGGGGTGGTGGCATTCCTTCTGGGTGATGGAGACACTCCAGCACAAGATAGCTGTGATAACCACATGGGCTAACACTTACGTGCATTAGGGCAATGTGCCAATGGTAATGCTTATGTTATGTGTGTTTCGGTAATAGAAAAGATATCCCTGGTTATAACCACCCCCCCAACAAGAATTCTTCAGATATCTGTGGATAAAAGTGCTTTTGAGGGATCCTGGGATTCACGTGGGAGCTTGTGAGACATTGCTGGACCCAAGACTCAGGAGGCCTGTTGTCACAGGGAAGGCCCCATGCTCAGAGGACCTACTGCCTGCAGCTCACACTCCAGGCCCCCAGACAGTCCCATTCCACAAAGGCTGTAGTTCTGTGCGGCCGTGAGCCTGCTGCCATTACCGCTGCCGTGAGTCTACGAGAACTGGGCCCGCTGGTGCCTCCGAGGGCCAACCGGTCCACAGGAGGGCCCAGAGGAGGCCCCGTGCAACCAGCAGGCATGCAAAACCCACCTCACCACAGGTGTTGGAGGGGCCCTGGCTTGCCTCTAGGCTGTGCTGGTTGCAGCCTGTCTTGGAAACAGTTCTGACCAGGCACAGACAATGGATGAGGGTCTCGTCTGTGTGCTTCTGGGGCAGGCCCGAGGGCTGCATCCCCCACAGACTCTGAGGGGGGCCCTGCAGCGGCTGCTCTGACTCCTCCTCCTCCGTGTGCTGATCCAGGGTCAGTAGCCTTCCTACACAAAGAATGGTCCAGAGTCTCACCTCCCAGGGCCCCAGTTCGGGTTTGCTGAACTGGACCCTGGAGCCTAGTTCTAGTCCCTGCTGGTTGCCCAGGGATCTGCCGGGAGACACCCATCTGAGTCCCCTGGCCAGAGGTCTGTCAGTGACTCAAGATTCCAGTGCCAGTGTCTCTCTTCAGCTGATGAGCAGCCGTGTCTGGGGACCGGAAGGCCCTCTAGCCTCTGCCTTGTGACTTCCTGTCTTTTTTTTTTTTTTTTTTTTTTTGTCCCAGGAGTCTTAGGCTTTTCTGTAAACGGGCCTCGTCCCTTCTTGACTAGCAGCTGAAGGCGGGCGTGCTGACCCAGGAGCTGCGTGAACGTGTGCCTGTCCGAGACACTGAAGCACCACCCCAGTGTCGTGGGATGGCCCTCATTTTAGTGACAGCCCGTAAGACCGAGGTCCTGGAGACAGTTCCATCTGTCCTGTGACCAAACGGAACTCAAGAGTCACCAGAGCCCTTCCTGACAGGTCTGCAGACAGGTGGTCTCTACTAGGTACCCAAGCAGCAGCCGCGTGACCCAGGCCCAACTCGTACGCGCAGCCCTGCACCGGGAAGCAATTCCGGCTACTCAGACTTAACCCGGAGACCCACGGGGCTGAAACCAGTGTGTGAGAGCTGAAGTGGGAAGCTAATTCCACCAAAGTCTAACAAGCTGTGACGGATCGCAAGAAACCATAGTCAGCTGTTGGGATTAAGGCAGCGGCACATAAATTAGGAGCTAGATATTAAAGCATAAACCATGGAAAAGAACTAAACAGAAGCCCCTGAGGCCAAGGAACGCGCCCACAGGAAAATTCAGCAGCATAGATGCAGGAAAGAGATTAAGTAGGTCCTAAGATAGGGCCACTGGAGTTACCCAGTTAGAAGAACAAAAAGAAAAAAAAAAGATATTGCCGGGACAGACCTGACCATGCTTGGGGGAAGAGTGTGGAACGACTTTGGGACTTGGAGCTAGAAAAGCCATTCAGCACTGAGAGTTTGGTGAGCTGCTCTCTGGGAGTTTGGATGATAGGAACGGAAATGGTTGCAGACAACGGAGGCCGGGCCTGGGAAGTTTCAGAGGGAAGTTTAAAGACTGTATCGGGGCTATTCTTTATTTTGAATGAAGGCTCTGCCGTCCTGGTTCATTGGGGCCGAGGAGTCAGCTGTGATTAACACGATACCGGAAGCTACTCAAGTGAAACCTTTTCTGGGATGCCCTGAGCTGGTCGGCGAGAGCTGGGAAACTAGCGGTGATTAAGCAGAGACCAGCGGCGCTGAGGGGTGAAATTGTGTAGGAAGTGTTTTCTGAGAGTCAGTGCTGTACTCCCGAGGCCGGGGTTTTACCTCCAGCCGGCGGTGTCTGAACTGGCAGTGTAAGAGTCGCCCGGGCGGAGCTGGTTTTGAAGGCATGGAGGGGGTCAATGGAGAGAGTAGAAGGCTTGGCCCCGTGGAGAGGGCCGGGGAGAGGCCACTGGTGAAAGTGAAATCCCAGTGGCAGCAGAGACCCCAGCGTTTTTGGAGATGCCAGGGCCATGGGAGGACCACCAAGGACAGCCTAGAAGATGAGCTGTGTGCTCTGAGGAGGGTGGAGCCGGAAGTGACCCCGCCCCCTTTGGAGGAGTTCAGAAGATGGTGCTTGGACCCCAGACGCTGGGTTAGTTATTCACACTGTTGGGGTCTGGTTTTCTTGAGTTCAGATTGCGACTGTACCCTAGTCCTTCCCTCTTGAAGTAAGGCAGTATTCAACTTACTTTTGATTTTTTTTACAAGATCTCACAGTGGGGAGGCTGATTTTAAAAGAGATTTTTAGGCTTTAAAAGACTTAAAAATAAACCTTTGGATTTTTAAAGAGAGACTGAATTTTAAAGTGTTTAAATTTGGGACTTTTCAAATTGGTAAATTTTTTTTTTTTTTTTTACAAGACAGGTTTTCTCTGTATTGTTTTGGAGGCTGTTGGTCCAGCCCGGCCTCGAACTCACAGAGATCCGCCTGCCTCTGCCTCCCGAGTGCTGGGATTAAAGGTGTGCGCCACCAACGCCTGGCTTCAAATTGGTAAAAAATTTTTATATTGTGATGGTGAGGTTCGTGTATGATCTTGGGGATGGATGAGAAAGGAAAGGTTAACGGGCGATGCTTGAGGGTCAAGCTGGCGAGGGGTCAATGGGAGGAATCATGGACGTGAGCCAAATAATCTCTTCAGAGAACCTGTGAACCCTGTGAAGTTCTGCTTCGTCCTCTGCAGCCCAAGACCCTCGCTTTGCTTTGGCTGGACCCAAACTTGGTGTGAAAGTCCCGGCAGCCTGGCTCACACCGTGGGCGCGCGCAGCCCGCAAAGCCGACAGTGTGGCAGCTGAGGTCACGGTCTGGACAAGCCCTACGGAAGCCGTGCTTCTGCGAGCCTTCCTTTCTTGCCTCCCTTATCAATTTTCAAAAGCGTTCAAGAGCATCCGTCGTCAGCTGCTTGCTTAACTGAACCCTATGCGGAAGCCAGCAGGACAGGACTAGGCATCCCCGGAGCACCCTGGTTTGCGCAGGCAGCAAGGATCTAACAGCTCACTGGGATGAGACAGACCCTAGCTGCAAAGACCCTGCCAAGACACACCAGACGAGAATGCCCGGGACTTTTTAAGGAAACAAGGGAGTCTTGCTGTCTACTCCGAAGCCTGGTACGGCCCAGGATGAGCCCAGAAAGAGACCTGTTTCCTACCTTGCAGATCTTCCACCACCAGGAAGGCAAGCGCACCTGCCTTTTGGAGTTTCTCATCCTTGACTTCGAAAGCTAAGCAGGGGTGGGGTGGGGCGGAGACGGAAGTGCTGCTGCTGGACACTTCCTCTCCCCTGCCCCCTGAAGACACCCACCGGGCGTGGTCTGCTAGCCTGCCTGCGGCAAATGCTGTTAGCTTCTGTTCACCTTGCAGCAGTGTGGAGAGAGGACGCGTTCTCAGAGCGCCTCTGCCCTTCAGAAGGCAAGCTCTTCTACAGTGGGTCTGCAGCCTCAAGCCCACACCAGTGCAGGGGCTGGAAGGGGAGGCCAAAGGACTGGTGCTGGCTATTGAGACTCGGTCGCATCGTCGCATACCAGTTACGGGGGGGAGGGGAACCTCCCTCGCGAGTGGTACGCAGTGGGGGGTGCTCCCACCAGAGGAGGGGGCCGTCAGGCGGATTCACGGGGAAAAAGTAGGAGGCGTGGTCCAGGTGTGTTTCTGTGTTTTTCTCTGGGCTTTTACTCTTGTCCTTGTTGATTGACAGATCATAATTATTCAAATTAATGGGATAGAATGCCACGTGAGGCTCTGTTGAGGCCCTTCAAGGCGGTTAAATTGTGTCTACTAATATAACAAGCACCGGTGAAGGTACGTCCCCCTGGGTCCCACTATGAGAAGTCTAAAATGGGGGCGGAGACGGCGGCCAGGTGTTGGGGACTGGCTGCCCGTGCTCAGGTTTTACTTCTCTGCTTCTCTTTTATCCTCTAGCTCCAAGCCCAGGCTCTGGCAGAAGACGCCACAGCAGTCCGGACAAGGCCCCCCTTCTGGGAGCCTCATTCCTGGCTGCTGCTTCTCCGACCTCGTTGCCCAGGTGGTGGCTACATGGTCTTTCTCTTTACAGTTTTTGGATGCCTCTGACGTGTTGGGAGATCTCCAGGAATGTCAGGGGAATCTACCAAAGTGGGTTGTTTTGCCTGTTTTGGTCAGAGCTGTGACTGGAGCCTAGTGCCTGGCGGTGAGTCTGGCGGGGGCTCTATTTCCAGTCCAGGATGACAGTCCCCATCTCATCTTTGACCCTGACCCTCCCTGAGGCATACTTGGTCTCCTGGCAGCCATTGCAGTACACAGTCTTGGTGGTGCCGTCTGGGAACTCCCTCCGCTTGAACCTGGCTGTGTGGATCTCCCTCTGCCCGTTGCTGAACACGATGGTTTTGTCTCCGTTCCTGCAGGACAGAAACACTCCGATAAGTGGTGACCGACGGGGGGGGGGGGGGGGTTGTGAGGACCTGGAGATGAGTGATACCATCGCGCCGTCTGGGTTTCTGTCTTGAGGGAGGAAGTTGAAGCTTCCCAGGGAAAGAGCGGGGAAGGCATTTGAGGTTTAAAAGGCAGAAGAAGCCGGCCCATGCCGGCTGAGCTTGGGAAGGGGGGTTGGGTGGGGGAGCTGAGTGGGGGAGCCCACTGGAGGAACTAGTGAGGTTGAGGTCATGAAGGAAACGTGCCCAGGACACGCCGCAGTCGGGGGCATATTGGGGACATCTAAGGTGAGTTTATTGGACTCTTGCCCAGGCTGTTGGACAGATACGACTGAAAGCCCTGTGGACCTCGTTGTCTGCAGGGTGACTTAGCGCATTCTTGTATCTGAGAGTCTTGCTTATACATGCTGCAACAGAGTCACAACGTCTACACAGCACGGCTTTGACAAGGTGGAGGCTGAAGGTGTGCGCTCAAGGCTGGCCAGCTTCAGTCACCTAAACATTGGCATGTGTCACCTCACGGCAGGGAGACATCCTGGGACACGTGCCAGCTAAGAGCAGTGAGACATCCTGAGAAATGCGGAGTGAGATCACTGTGATGTCAACCTAGGCCACTGTGACATTAGTTGAAAATGTAGACTGCGGGGCCACCTTTGTCCCCGAATTCGATCACTGAGCACAATTTGGGGGCACATGACTGCCCCAGAAAGTCTGTCTCTAAGCTCACATTCTCTCTAAGTAGATTTGAACTGAGGGCCCAAAGGCTCTTGTAGGTCCAATGGCATTGTTTTCTGGCGTCATGGCCGCTTTTTTTTTATTTTATTTGATATGTATGAGTGTTTGCCCGCGTGAATGTCTGCAAGCGACATGAGTGCCGGGTGCCCATGGAAGTCGCGGGAGGCCAATGGGTCCCCTGGAACTAGAGCTACAGATGGTTGCGAGCTGTCATGTGGGTGCTGGGAACTGATCCTGTGTCCTTTCCAAGAGTGGCCAGTGCTCTTAATCTCTGAGCCATCTCTCCAGTGCCCCCCTGTCTCCCCCACCCCTGTTGGTATATCTAAATGAATGCTTGGACGTTTGCAAACATCTAAATGCCTACAGGCATGTTACAGAACACAAAGCCCCAGGTGGGAGTCTCGGATCAGGCCGTCTGCTGGGGGTGCTGACCTTTTCACCGTCACACAGGTCCCATCAGGGAACACAGTCTCCTCACATCCATCCTTCAGTTGCTTCACGGTCCCATCCGGAAACACGGTTTTCTTCGAGCCATCCGGGTAGAATTTTTCTGCAGGAAACATTCAGATTAAAGTACATGGTGTTATACTGGGTGCATTTGGCAGCTGTGTTGGGTCTAAGTAATCTAAAATGGTAACGGGAAAGATCATTTTCTAGTTAGAGGCGTTTGCAGTCAGGACTGGCAGACACAGCACCCAGCGCCCGGCCGATATTCAATTCCGTGTTACGTAAGGCTGTGTAGCCAGTCTCCAGTGCGTAAAACAGTTGGTGTCTTTTGTTAGACATGAAGTGATGGCAGGTTACTGGTGCCTGGGCAGCTGGAAGAAACAAACGCACTTTCCTGGAGGGCATCTCCAACATGGGTCCCCTAGGATTGCCACCGGATCTGCCCCCTACAGCGCAGACTGGAAAACTAGGGGGTGTGGCGTGCTGGGACTCAGCTGTGGTTGGCTCCACACTGGACTCCGTGTCTGGGCCGGGCTGTCCAGAGCAAGATGCTGAGGCAACTATGCGTAAAAAAGTGACTGGGGAATTCACGGGAAAGGAGACGACGCGGGTAGGGTGGTGTTAGCCGACACACTAGATTAGAGAGACCTGAGAAGGACCTGAAGGAGATCATGAAATCTGGCGGGAAACTGTGAGGTAGAGGGCAGTTCTAAAGAATTTACCCGAATGTAATGATTATAAAATGCAGTACTATACGTTCAGAGATGAGAGGGCCCTGGGTGGCTATGGTTAGAGGGTTAGGGATGGAGGCCAGGCAATGTTTGCAGAACAAGAACATCCTTTGCTGAGAACATCCTTGAATTTAATGGTATAGGGAATGCCGGGCAAAATCTGGGGGCACCCAGCTCGCTGAGTTTCAGGAAAACTAAAAGTGACTCTTTGGGTATAATTTTGCCCTATGTACTTCATGGAATGATTTCTAATTGAAAAACAACAACAACAACAACATTAAAAATCCAGCTGGGCGGACTATTTTCTTCAGTGAGCCCAGAGGCTGGATGTCTGCTGCTGTGGGGACCACAGACCCTGGCCGGAAACTCACTCCTCCATCAAACATGTTTACTGAAAACAATCCAATGCCATAAGTTCCTGATAAGGGCTTGATAAGGGCTCGCTCACTGAAACACCCTGACTTTGATCTTCCCGATGGCTAGCCACTTCCTGCTCCCTGCTGTTCCCGATTCTGGTGTCAGAGAGTTAACCACCGGCCAGGAGGAGAAAAGAGAGACATATGGGAGATGTGTGTGTGTATGTATGGCAGAAGCTTTTCTTGAGGGAAGCATTTTCTTGGGAAGTTCTCTTAAGCCGACTTGGGGAGCATAAAGATTTCTTAAGGCAACCGACCGGTCTCTGTGTCATCTATCCCGACGCCCTCGCCACATTCTCGGATACAGGCTGTGCAGCAGGCGCGGCATGCTGTCCCTGCCCATGATGCTCATGCGCCCTACCGTCTCTGACACAGGCGGACAAGGCGGGGAGCCAGGGGTACAGGGTGGTACTCCTCACCCGTCCACTTGTTCGGGAACTGCACGACTTCGACACCATCCGGGTAGGTTGTGTGCGTAGTCTGAGCATCCGCGTAGTAGTATATCTGTGAAGGCCGGGTAACCCACGTTAGGAGGCAAGCAGCCCCCCTACAGTTGTTATGTTAGCCTCGACTGAATCTGACTAGTTACTCCCCGCAGGTGGGTTCTGTGGGAACTTCCACAGTTGAGCAGCACAGGAAGTGGAGCTTGTCACTCGCACCCCAGAAGTGACAGACTTGGCTGTCGTGAGATTGTGGGATGAGGTAGGTTAGCCCTCGGGTTTTTTCTTTTTCCTGAGCATCTGCTAATGCATGACTTGCTGCACCTTCACGCCTCGTGGGTTCCTGTAGCTGGTGAGGGCCAGGAGGTGGACATGGGCTGTAAGCCCCAGTGTCCCATGAGCCCCACAGTTTTCTGAGTAGTGGCCAGGTTCAGCTCGAGAGAGTAGATTCTCCCCAAGTGCCTCGGACATCCACGGAAGTGCACCTCACGAGCTGCCAGTTGACCTGGGTGTTTCTGATACTCATGTCTCCCTTGGTTTCCAGGGAGAGAGGGAAGGAGTGGGAAGGACATTTACAAAGGGGGACGGTGATGGGCTCGGGGACAGGCAACGGGGCTCGGGGACAGGTGCTCCTGATGCTAAGGCCGGGTCACGCTTGAAAGTCACCGTCCTGGGGTAGAACGGGACGGAACGGGGTAAAAGGAAGGATGCATAGGGAAGATAACTGCTCTACTCCTAATTCACATTCCTGCGGGCCACACCACATCGGTCCTCTGAGATGGAGTCGTGTCTCTATATCCACCAAAGAGGAGGGTGAGCGCCTTTAATTGGAGCCATATCGTTGGGAAATCTGTGACTTTGAGACTGGGATGCCTTTGGGGCAGTTTCTGTCAACCTGGCACAAGCAAGAGTCATCTGAGAAGAGGGAACATTAGTTGAGAAGACCCCTTCGTCGGGTTGCTCAGTAGGGAAGTCTGTGGGGGCATTCATTTTCTTGACTAATGATTAATGTGGAAGGGTCTAGACCCCCGTGTAGGGGGTGCCACACCTGAGTTCTCGGTTGTATAAAAGCCAAGCTGAACCAGCTATGGGAAACACGCCAGTAAGCAGTGTCTGTCTGTCCGTGGTCGCTCAAATCCCTGCTTTCAGCTTCCCGTGGTGACTTCCCTCAGGGAGTGAGTGTGACGGGGGACATGGGAGCCAAAGAAGCCCTTTCCTTCCCAGGTTGTTTTAGTCATGCTGCTTATTACGGCAGTAGAAAGCAAACTAGGGAAGAGGGCTCCGTGCTCCGTCATTTAGTGTAAAGCACTGTCTTTATAGTGTAAAGCACTGTCTTTATAGTAGCAACATGTTCCAGGCCAGGCGGACGCAGGGAGTGCTCCTGTCTCCAGCATCACATAAGTACCACGTTCCCTCGGCAGACCAGGAGACAGGGAAGGAATCAGCAGCAGACCTGGAGAGAGGCGTGCTCACCTGCCTCTGCGGTGTCACCACACAGAGTCAAAGTCACAGTGGGGGACTCCCCCCTCCCAGCCTGCACCGAGCCCCGTTCTCTCTCCTAACTCACCCTGCCTGTTACCCGTCTGTCACTCTACATCTGTCCATCCTTCCTTCGTGTCTGCCTGAGAAACACGGTTGTGACCCCCCCCCCAAGGTGAGGCAACACATCTCTTTGCCCCCGCCCCCACACGGGGGCTGCGACTTCCTGAAAGTCACCATTTGCATAGGTCTTCCAGGATTTCCTGGTTTGTTTTCCTAGGCACAAGGGTCATCTCAGACCAGTAGAAAACCATCTGGGTAGGGAGGATTCACAATGGAGGGTAGGGTGGGGTGCTGGTGGGACACGGTTGATGGGCATATTTGCGGGCTGAGGCCATGGAGAACCTCACACGCATCATACACCAAGGGCGAAATCCTCATTAACAAGGAGGTTCTGGCCTTCAGCCCTCCCTGACACCAGGACCGATGGACCTGCGTCTGTGAAAGGGCTGCTGGTAACTCTGTGGGCGGGTCTGGCTTTAGAATAACATGGGTATGTGGGTCTGGCTTTAGAATAACACGGGTATGCGGGTCTGGCTTTAGAATAACACGGGTATGTGGGTCTGACTTTAGGATAACAGGGGTATGTGGGTCTGACTTTAGGATAACAGGGGTATGTGGGTCTGACTTTAGAATAACAGGGGTATGTGGGTCTGGCTTTAGAATAACACGGGTATGTGGGTCTGGCTTTAGAATAACAGGGGTATGTGGGTCTGGCTTTAGAATAACATGGGTATGCGGGTCTGGCTTTAGAATAACAGGGGTATGTGGGTCTGACTTTAGGATAACAGGGGTATGTGGGTCTGACTTTAGGATAACAGGGGTATGTGGGTCTGACTTTAGGATAACAGGGGTATGCGGGTCTGGCTTTAGAATAACAGGGGTATGCGGGTCTGGCTTTAGGATAACAGGGGTATGCGGGTCTGGCTTTAGGATAACAGGGGTATGCGGGTCTGGCTTTAGGATAACAGGGGTATGCCCGCACTCACCACTCTCTGGTCGGGCTTGACTTTCTTCATGTCCCCGTTAAAAAACTTGATGAGGATCGTCTTCTTGTCAGCACTGATCTCCTTCCTGGTTCCATTGGGGAAGGTGATGATGGTTCGCCCATCGCTGAGGACCTGCTCCACCTTGATGGACACACAAAAACTCCCGGTGAAGAGCGGTGGCAAGCATGGTTAGTGTTTTCCCTCGTGTTCAAACTCACTGCCCACTGTCTGCCTGGCATGGTGGAGACTAACACACACACACACACACACACACACACACACGCACTGATGAGCTCCCAATCCCCACCCTGCATTTGGTCATCAATAGCAAGTGTTATGAGTTGATTCTCAGTGTCCCCCTGCCTTTGTGCTGATGCTGTACAGCATTTGCCATGGGGCTGTGTGGTCTCTGGTCATAGGACTGACGAACCTGAAATCCTGGACCAGATAGAATTGCAGGGTTACTATGTAAAAAATTAACTTTTGTGCATTTTGTGTCTTCCCTGTCTTATCCTGTCGACCCACACACTACACTAATGGCTTCAATTAAAAAAAAAACAAATCAGCAAATAAGTAACTTCATATGTATGCTGCTAGACTCTTGGTGGATGGCAACACCCTGCAAAGATTGGTGTAAGCAAAGACACTAGTAGAAATAACATCAATTTGGGTAGTTAATATATGTATATTTTAAAACTCCATGTAGCATTTATTAACTATGACACATATAATAACTATTGTTGGTGTAGCTGGGAATGTAGGGTTAAAAACCTATAATCAGAGTTGAGAGCTAATACTTCTGAACAAATCAGAGTGCTAGCCAGCCAAACCCAGCTGACGGTCAATAAGTTGAAGGGTTGAGCTAAGTCCAGCAAGACTTCAACAGACAGCGGCCCTTTCAAAACAACACACACACACACACACACACACACACACACACACACACACACACACATTCTTAATGCTCTGCACAGGGCATACACGTGTTCTTAATGCTCCGCACAGGGAATCGCAAGATCAACCGCAGCTGCGCAGACCGGTTATGGAACCGTGCTCTGTTAGATAACCAGCTGCATGGACGGTGGTCACTGTGTAAGACGCTAATGCAGCTGGTAATTTCCTGTCACCTCTTGCCTTGTGGCACTGAGCATCCCTAAGCATTTGTGGTGATGCTGGGATGTCCCATACCACTGTCTGGTCTACAGCAGACACTGACAGCAGACAACTGTGACAGTGGTGCCTTCACATTCTCTCCAATTTTATCATTATTCCAGTGCCTTCCTCGTCGCATGAGAAATGCCCTACACCGTGGTGTGCACTCCTGTGCCCAGGCATCCTTGCTCATCACGCTTACCACGGCTCTTGCTGGCATCAGAAGGTCATGCTGAGTGGGTGAGAGTACCTAGGCGTGTGGGAGTCGCCACAATATTCACACCAGGGGGAAATCACCTAGTGTGGTTCTGAGAGCATGCCATTACTAAGTCACGCATGATGGTGTGACTTTCAAAATTTACCTTATAAAAATAGGATGCTAGCTCAGTGGTGTTGGTGCACACCTTTAGTCAGAGTGCTGGGAGGCAGAGGCAGGTGGATCTCTGTGGGTTCAAGGCCAGCCTGGTCTACAGAGTGAGTTCTACGACAGCCAGGGCTGTTACACAGAGAAACCCCATCTTGACAAACAAGAACAACACACACACACACACACACACACACACACACACACACACACACACACACACCAAATAGGATATGAACCACAAAAGAGGATATAAAGCTAAGTATGCTCTAGTTTAGACTTTGCCATGGAGTTTTCATTTTTTCTTTTAGTGGTAGATAAGTTTGTAAAAATGTATTGGATAATGAAAGTATAAAATTTAGCCTGACTCACTGCAGCCTGAGGATGGCTATTCTAACTCTATAGAAAAATGTTGAGATGTATAGACCTTGGGGCTGGTTAATTTTAGTGTATGGCTTTTCGTACTGCTAGATTTTTTTTAACCATAGAGTTTTAATTGAAGTAAATAAAAATTTATAGTATAAAGATCATTGAACAGGAGAAGAATCCCAGCGAGTCCAATGCAAGACACACGCAGATCAGCTCAGGGTGAGGGGATCAGAGGACACAGTGACGTGACAGGGACTGGAAAAGAAAGGTGGCACCCAGTAGCCAGACGTAGCAGAACAGGGTGCCACGGACTGCCTGCTTCTCACGTCTGCACCCTGTGGCTCCCGGAGACCAGGCACCTGGCTGGTCCATAGCTGGCTGGACTGACCAGCACCGCCCTACTCCTCACAGGCCCGTCACCAAGGCCTGCCCTTTGCTCAGCTGTGTCTGTTTGTCCGACAACAACGGTGTGAGACAGGAGGACTCTAGGGGATTCTGCTCGGTGGGTGGGCTGCTTGCCCTGTGCGCTTGAAACCCTGGGTTCCCTTCCCAGCCCATCTTAATGGACTGTGGTGTGGTCCACACCTGTAACTTCAGTACCCCGGGAGGCGGGAGGCAGGAGAGTCAGAAATTCAAGGTCGCTGTGAGTCCATAAAAGCAGAGACCCTGCCTTAGAGGAGGGGAGGGGGGAAGGAGGAGGAAGGAGGCTTTCGTGCAAAGCTGTGGAGCCAAGCAAACGGTTCCTCGCTCATCTATTCAAAGAGTTCTCGGCTTTCAAGGGTGGAGATCTACTCAGTCCGAGGCTCCACAGACAAGGAGGAGCCAGGAGACTCAACTCCAGCAAGGGAGGCGGAGGGGCTGTGAGCAAACAGCCCGGCTGTGGCTGCTTCAGCTGCTCCCGTGGGCCACAGCTGCTCACCCCCTCCCTCCCTCCCCGAGTCAGCCTCAGCCCTCTGGCAGCAGATCTCTACGACAAAAGCCCTTTTTTTTTTTTTTTTTTTTGGTTTTTACGAGACAGGGTTTCTCTGTATTGTTTTGGAGGCTATCGGTCCAGCCTGGCCTCGAACTCACAGAGATCTGCCTGCCTCTGCCTCCAGAGTGCTGGGATTAAAGGCGTGCGCCACCACCGCGTGACAAAAGCCCTTTTTGAGGTAGCAGTGAGGGGTAGACGTTCCTCTCAGAGCATGTGTTTGTTACTGGGAGCCAGCTTGCAGCTCAGGAAGGTCTGCTTGGCTCACGGGGAACGCGGCAGGGAAAGACCACATGCCGCGGGCAGGCGCCTACCTTGCCATTCGGGTGTCGCTTCTCTTGTGTCTCATTATCCTTCTCAGTGTCGATGGAGTGTGGTACTTCTCTGGGAGGTCTTGACCGTGCCAGAAGATTCTGTGGAGAGATTATAGCCGCCGTTGCCTCCCGTGTCCCCTCCACGCCCCCTGCTCTGAGAACCACGGGTCTAATGCAGCCCTCCAATGACTATAGGAAGGCCGTGTTTCTCTCGTTTGAAAGGCTGTGTGCCCAGAGCCTGGGAGTCTTTTGCAGCCATCCCAGCCTCCTGTGCTCATGAAAAAGGGATGGAGTAGCAGTTCCTGCCATCACCTCCTGGTTTTCCTGCTCCCAACCTCCCTGGCCAGGTGAAACCCTCCCTACCTACCTGCAGCCACATTGCATTCTGGGAAAAAGTAGGGATGAGCCTTCTTGCTTGAGCCTGTGTGAGAAGCTCACCTTCAGAACTCTCTGGATTGGAGGACCACAAATCTGAAACAGCAGAGAAGGGCTGTTTCAAGAGGCCGCGCACAGATAGCGAAAACGATGTGTGCCCAGTGCGAGTTCCAAGTCCCAGCCTACGTCCCCAAACGCATCTTCTTTTCCCCTGAGGTCACCGCGCAGAACTGGAGAGACAGCCAGCCCTTGTCTGCGGATGGTGTCTTCTCTACGTGCTGGGATGGAGGACACTGAGCTAGCAGAGGGCGGGCGTCTGTCCTGAAGCTGCTTTTGCCCCAGTTAGGGGGCAGACGTAGGAAGGGAAAAGTCACAAGCCCAGTGATGACCGCCCACTAGACACGTGGAAGGAACCGGAGGCAGAGAGTGGGGAGCAGGAGTCCTGTGCCTCCGGGGCAGCGGGGAGCAGGAGGAAAGGTCACCATGGTGGAGGAGCTGAGAGCTGCACACCCACAGCCAAGAACAGGGAGAGCGCGATGCATGGACGCTTGCTTGCTGGCTCTCAGGGGGCTCTCACACATCGTTTGGGACCCCTTGACTTAGGAATCGGTGCTGCCTACAATGGCCTGGGTCCTCCTCCATCGATTCACGATCGAGACGGTTCTTCGTAGGCATGCCCGCAGGCCGGTCTGATCTAAACAGTTCCTCACTAAGACTCTCCTCCAAGGCGATTCTAGGTTGTGTCAGGCTGCCGGCTATAAAAGTTAGCCAACACACAGAATGTGTGAGCGCTTGCTCTCTCCATTTGGTGGCGCTGCTGGAGGAGGTATGGCTGGTATGACTTTGATAGGGGAAGTATGTATCGCTTGGGCCCCTTTCCGTTTGCTCTCTATTTTGTGCTTTTATGGGTACTTGCTGTTATGAACTGGCCCTTGGGAATCATAAGCCCCAACAGATTCTTCCTTCGACAAGTTGCTGTGGCCGTGGTGCTTTATCAACAGCAGCAGACAAGTAACTGACTCACAGAGGTCCAGAAATGCCGCACGGGAGCAGGGGGAGAGACAGCGCTGTGCTTGCCCGTGCACTAGCGTCCGGGGCTCAACGTGTCAAAGGGGACTCACATGGACAGCGAGAGAGGGTGTGTAAGAGGCAGGCTGCGGGGTGGCTGAGAGGCCCCTCTCTGCCCACTGAGGGTGCGGCTGAGCCGGGACTCTGTGCAAAGGCTCCATAGCAGAGCTATGAGGCATACCCTCAGTCATGCTCAGGGACACAGAGATTATGACGGTCGGTGGCCACTGACGGCAGCTGGAGCGAGGCATTCTCCCTGCCGCTGTGGGAGCCTGCAGGCGGGACCCACAGGGACAGGAAAGGCCGTGTGCACCAGGATGGACAGCTTGATCTCAGGGGGAGGTCAGCAAGAGCTGGCCGGGAAGGGAGGTGATGTCACCAGCCGGCAAGCAGAAAGGGAAGGGTGAGCCGGGAGAGCCGGTTTGGGCTCTGCAACTGCGTTGGGAGAGGTTACCAGGACAGATGCTCAAGGAGGAGGAATCAGACAGAACCCAGGGAGCTCTGGGGAACCTTACCCACGTGCCATTTCCCTCCCCGAGCAACCAGCAGGAACTGGGTGGGCCCTTGCCATCTCATTCTCCTCACCAGCCAATGACTCTGTGTCCAGGGCTGTGGAGTCTGACGGGAGTTCTGGTGATATCCTGCCAATGTGTCTTCGCACAAACTTGGAAGACAGGTGCATAGCCTGGGTACAGAGAGAGTCACAAAACCAGCGACACCACCAGACCAGTGGCCAGATGCTGAGCACGAGCCGTGCTAGCTCCCAGATGCCCCAGTCATGTCCCAGACTCTACCAAGTGCATTGGGCTCCAGTCCCGGAATTCAGACAATTGACCTAATATAGAAAATTCCCATCCACACAATAGGTTAAAAAAAAAAAGACCACTGCAGTTCTGCTTAGCTTCTTGCTTTAGTACTGAGCGTGTGTATGAAGATGCTCCGCTTTCTAATCTGCAGAATCACAGAATTACCATTAGCAAATTCCCCCAGTCCATTTTGAGTAACGGGGTGAGTGCTCCGGGATGAAGCAGGGTGTGTTCCTGGGGGTGAGGAGGCAAGGCAACGGGGAGAGGGAAGGTTGGCCAAGTGCAGTCTGCCCAAGCGCGAGGGTCAAAGTTCAGAATGCTAGAACGCCCAGCAGGCCAGGTGAGGCAGCATGCCTGTGATCCCAGCACCCAGACAGCAGAGCCAGGAGGGTCCCTGAAGCTTGCCAGACGGAGGGTGGAGTCGACCAGTGCAGTCCAGCCTCAGTTAGGAAGCACATCTCAAAATGAGGTGGAAGGCCTGGGGATGGCCCGATGGTGAGAGCTTTGCTACCGTTTCAGGGGACCCCACTTTGGCTCCCAGAGCTCGTGTTGGATGCCTCCCAGCCGCCTGCAGCTCTAGTTCAAGCGGATAGAGCACGCCCTCTTCTGGTCCACGGGTGCGTGGACGTGAGTGCACTCACACGTAAAAATAACTTATGCGAACGATGTGAGAGACAGATACAGGGAGACAACACACACGTGGGGGGGTGGGAGGAGAGAGAGAGAGAGAGAGAGAGAGAGAGAGAGAGAGAGAGAGAGAGAGAGAGAGAAGGAGGGAAGGAGGGGGAGCGAGGAGAGGGAGGGAGAGAGAGGCACTATGCACAAACAGCACAAGTTCCCAAGGTCACCTTTTCATCACAAGACACGAAAGAGAATCTTTCATCCAAGGAGTCTGTTCCTCCAGTGGCCATCAGGCTGCCATTCTGAGGACTCACAGAAGGGGCGTCGTCTCTGTCATCCCAGGACGTTGTTTTATCCGAATCGATTCCCTCTATCTTTATGTACACTGGCTGGAAACAAATGTGGGGGTATTTGTATCAGCATCAAATAGTGTTGTCCCCAAAGCACCAGTTAATGCACGGCATCCGCTACCCCTCAGCCTGGACTAGGACAACCCGTCCCCCGTTTTCAGTCCCCTGGGGGAGCAGGAGGGAAGCTGCTCTCCACACGCTGCCCCCCCCCCCCGCCCGTCTCAGTCCAGCACCATGGCACTCTGTCGTCTAGAAAGGATTTGATACCGCGGTGAGTAAAGTGTATGGAACCAAATTCAACAGACTTACAGGAAAACGAGCTTCTAGCCTTTGTGTTATTTTTTAAAATCTATGGTTTTGAACTGTGGCTTAGCTATTCACTCAGTTATTACCTCCCTTCGGGCAAACACCTGCTAGAAAGCCTTACTATTTTCAGGTAGTGGATTCCAATTACACATAATCCCTTCTGCTGTGTCCCCAAACCACTGTCCACAGGAGCCTCGTGAAGAAAAGCAACAGTTGCAAAGCCACCACCAGCTTAAAGGACACCCGAGGGCAGGGGACCACAGGCTTAAAGGACACCCGAGGGCAGGGGACCACAGGCTTAAAGGGCACAGTGGGGGGGGGGAATCACATTTTAATCTGCCTCCTAATATTAAATGTCTTCACAACGGCTTGAGCTAGGATGCCCCACATGCCAGTGACGCCAGACTGCTGCTCAAATACCTGTGACCTGCTTCTGGCTGACGTCAGATCCAGACTATCACAGGACCCCCGGCCCCCCAAGACTGAACAACTCCAACCCTCGTGAACTTGCATCATGCGATTTCAGCTGAGCATGTGGGAAGCAGGAAATACGTAACATTCAACAATATCTATTTGAAGTGTTTTCTTCATACGATATCTTTGGATTGCATTCTTTCCCTCCCCCAGCTCCTCCCACATCCTCCCCACCTCCCTACCAAGCCAACCTCATGTTCTCTCTCTCCCACCCTCCCCAACAAAGAGCGAAGTAAACACGAAACAGAAAAAAAAACCCCAGACAAACAAAAACACAAACATGCGCACAACCAACCAACAGCAACAACAACAAAAACCAAAGAAACACAGAGTCTGCTTTGTGTTGGACTACGTCTCCTGGGCATAGGCCCGTCTCCTAGTATGGTTGATACACCCAGTAGCACTCCACTGGAGAACACACATTTCCCCTTTCCTGCAGGCATCTTTTGTGAATAGCTCCTTGGTAAAGGGTGGAACATTGTGCCCACTTGCCTCTCTCTCTGAGAGCTGGGATTTCGCTTGGCGTGAACCCGTGCTGGTCTCTCTGAGTTCATCCTGCACCAGCCCTTTCCTGTCTGGGTGATACCTGTTTCCGTGGCGTCACCCATCACCTCTGGCTTTTTACAGTCTTTCCGCCCTGCTCCCCGCCGCGCCCCCCCCTTCCACATAGAACCCTGAGCTGTGAGGGGAGGGTTTAGTGCAGACAGCCTGTTTGGGACCAACTGCCCCAAAGTCTCTCTCCGCACATGGCCCATTTGTGATCTGCTGTGTTAATTACCATCTACTGCAAGAAGAAACATCTCTGGCGAGGGTTAAGCTAAGCACTGATCTATGGATACAGCAATGTGTTATCAGGACTCATTTTATTGATATGTTCCCTTAGCAGAGCAATTGTATTTATTTTTTTTTTCTAGGCCTATAACCTGGTTTCTTGGCCATTTTATCTGGGTCAGTTCTATCTCATGGAATGGGGCTGTAAATTTCATAAGGAAGTTGCTGGTTACTCTCATAACATGTGTGGCGGTGCGGTTGTACCAATTTTATCTTGTAGACAAGTCTCCGTTTTAGGTAACGTGTTTGTAGTGGGTGGCATTGACGGGGGGGGGGCCTTCTCCTCTGGTAGTCTGCGGAGTTACCTTACAGCACCATGGGTGCTAGTCAAAAGGGGGTGAAGCTTACTAGCTGGATACCAGCCTGATTTCTCCACTTCGGTGGAGAAGTTGTGTCTTCAGTCACGGACCCATACGGCCCAGTTTGTAGAGAGCGACCAATAGCCTTAGCAACGGCCTGTTAAGTTTGGGGAGTTCTGTGGGTCCCCTTTGGCCGATGACTCAACAAGATGTAATCCATTCCTGACCCCCGGAGGATTTGTTTGGTGGGATAAGATGTCTAGTTGGGGTATTGCCTTTTCCATTATGTGCCGACTCCATTGAAACCCCCTTCGTGTGTGTGTGTGTGTGTGTGTGTGTGTGTGTGTGTGTGTGTGTGTGTACAGTAGTTGGATCCTGTATGACTTTTCAGAAGGTCTTTAGTCGCTCACACAGTTGGCCAAAGACCCGAGATTCCAGGTCTTCCTTCCCTGGAGGCTGTCTGCAAGTGTGGGCTTGGTGTTTTAAGCTGCGCACTCCCCCTCTGAGGAGGGTGTGAGCCTCCAGCACCGTTTCTCCGGTGCTATTAGCCTACAGCTGTGCACCCCACGCACTCGTGCACTCACGGCAGACCTTTGGACGCCATCCCCAGAATCGTGTTTGGATACAGATGTCCCTGGGGCGAATTTAAAAGCTTAGCGCCCGCACCTTGCTTCCTGTTGCTCTAAGTTCAGTGTTTGTGGCGCAGGCGCTGTTTTTAATCCGAGGTCACACGGGGAGCGTGTGAGCGGTTACTACGCACCCATTCAGCGAGCACTGACGAGGGACTGACGTCTGATGGGGATGGGGTGATACCCTGCTGATGCGTGGGGCACATCTTACCCGTGTACCACGAGCGAGGGGGTAATTGGGGGCCACGCGGTAGCAAACACCGTATAAAATCTCCCACGGGACCCCTCTCAGCTTCTACCGGGAGACAGAAAGGAGCCGGCCGGCTCTCGGGCACTGAGTCACAGGGTTTTATCTAAGTCCTCCTTCCCCCTGTGCCTCGGTGGGGTTAATGACAGGGTCCAGTTCATCACTTAAGGTAAAGCAGGAACCTGGCGTCCTGAGATGACCTGGTGTCCAGCTATTCCACCAGAGCCTGTGAGTATCCCGGGGACAGAGCGGTGACATGCTATGTTCCCAGGGCTCCCAGGGAGGCCCAGCCGAGACTTGCTGTCACTTCTCTGTGTCACTGAGGGACAGACTGTAAGCCCTCACGGAGTGCCTGCAAGGGAGGGGACGTGCCCTCACAGGGCCATGATCTTTGTAAGGCGGGGAACCGGCTGTACCCGAGAGTTGGCTGTTCCTGCTGTGGGTGGGGAGGCCGCAGGGCCTTTCGTGGATTTTTTGGTGCCCTGCTGCTTCAGAGCCTGCAGTTCCTCGCGGAGATCCTCGTTCTCCTTCACAAGAGCGTTGATCTGGCCTTGGAGGTCTTTGTACGCGGCACACCACCAAGAGGCCTGTCTTGTGAGCTCTGCTGCAAGGTCACAGATCTGCTTCTGCAGCCCCTGAGGTAGGAAGAGAATGATAGGCACTTCTCAGGCAACCCCCAAGGAAGTGCCAGCCCCCACCCCTCCCCCGCCCCCAACGCTGCCACCCCAAAACAGAGTCCTCTCTGCAAGAGATTGTGGACTTCTGGAGCCCTGTCTACCTCCAGAGAGAAAGTCAGATGGCCTCAGCTTCAGCCATCATTATCAAGTGTGTCTACCAGGACTGACTCCATGCACTCCAACTAGATCTGATGGCTGGTGAGGTGTAGTCCATTGCTAGAACTTTTTTTTTTTTTTTTTTTTTTTTTTTGCGAAAGAAATTCTCTTCTCCCCCTCAGCCTTCAAGGAGCTGCCCCTATGAGTCCGAAAATGATTGGGATCCAGCCTCTAGTACTAATTTCACTAACTGCTTGCTGGGTGCCTTACCTCAGGGAGAGGCCACCTAACTGCTCTGGGCCTGCTTCTTACCCCTGAAACAAAGTGGCCTTGGATTATTGTCTGAAGAGTCGGAAATGTCTAGTGTGGAGGATTTTACTTGGAGACTGCCGCTGGGTTTTTGTATCTGCTGATTTGTGAGGGGGTGTGGTACTGGATTACGTGATACCAATTTTAATGTTACACATCTGTTCATATTAACGTATAAACACAACAGGCACCGTGAGACGCCAGTGGTGGCCACTCCCACTTGCTTCCTGAACTCGATGATTGAGGTTCTGGCGGCGAATGGGCAAAAGAGAAGAATGGAGTGAGAAAAGTCCCCTTCTGCCTCGCTGTGCCCAAAAGGACAGATCAGGGAGACAGAGGGCACCCGTCCCCATCGCAGAACAGTTAGCGATGTCATCTGGGGATGCTGCTAGGGCTGAGGAGGCCTGGTCAAGGGACACTTTCCCCCACAGTGACTGCTTTCCCATCAGCTGCTGCCCCAACCCTCTAAGACTTGTCCTTTGTCCTGTCTCTTTGTGCAGTGTTGAAGAAGGTGGCCCAGCAGAGCTCTGTGTCCTCTGTGGGAAACGTTGGCCCTGAGGTAGGTGTGTGTGTGTGTCTGTGCATGTGCATGTGCTGTGCATGTGCTGTGTGTGTGATGTGTGTGCCATATGTGTGTGTAATGTGTGTGTGCCATATGTGTGTGATGTGTGTGTCTGTGTCTGTGTGTGCCGTGTGTGTGCACGTGTGTGATGTGTGTGTGCATGTGTGTGATGTGTGTGTGCATGTGTGTGATGTGTGTGTGCATGTGTGTGCTGTGTGTGTGCCATATGTGTGTGATGTGTGTGTCTGTGTCTGTGTGTGCCGTGTGTGTGCACGTGTGTGATGTGTGTGTGCATGTGTGTGATGTGTGTGTGCATGTGTGTGATGTGTGTGTGCATGTGTGTGCTGTGTGTGTGCCATATGTGTGTGATGTGTGTGTCTGTGTCTGTGTGTGCCGTGTGTGTGCACGTGTGTGATGTGTGTGATGTGTGTGTGCATGTGTGTGCTGTGTGTGTGCCATATGTGTGTGATGTGTGTGTCTGTGTCTGTGTGTGCCGTGTGTGTGCACGTGTGTGATGTGTGTGTGCATGTGTGTGCTGTGTGTGTGCATGTGTGTGCTGTGTGTGTGCCATATGTGTGTGATGTGTGTGTCTGTGTCTGTGTGTGCCGTGTGTGTGCACGTGTGTGTGCATGTGTGTGATGTGTGTGTGCATGTGTGTGATGTGTGTGTGCATGTGTGTGCTGTGTGTGTGCCATATGTGTGTGATGTGTGTGTCTGTGTCTGTGTGTGCACGTGTGTGTGCATGTGTGTGCATGTGTGTGATGTGTGTGTGCATGTGTGTGATGTGTGTGTGCATGTGTGTGTGATGTGTATGTGCCGCGCGCGCGCGCGCGCGTGTGTGTGTGTGTGTGTGTGTGATGTGTATGTGTCGCATGTGTGATGTGTGTATGTGTGTGTGTGTGTGCTGTGTTCAGAAGCCTGTTGTTTTCCTCCTTTAAGGGTGAGGAGAACACTTCTCTTTCCTTCCATAGGGATCATCTCTAAAAGTAGGACCGCGTATCAGATGGACTGATCTTAGAGAATAGTACACATTAGAGAAGAAGTTTCTGACCATTTTGCTCTCCCAGTTCTGGAGACAATGGGGAAGTCATTGCATTTTGGTCCTAACAATCATCTCCCTTTCTGGGAACTTTGCTACTAACGCCGGATTTGGAGGATTTGGTGCAGAGGATGGCAGCAATGCACCAGAAGTGCCAATCAAATCCCTGGATACTTTTCTCACATAGAATAGCTCTTTCAAAAACACTTCATTTTTATTAATGTATATAAATTGTATATTTTGATGAGAGATTGCTGTGATATTCCCCCCAGCTCATAAAGTATTGTAAATGCAACCTACAATTTAGGCCTTGAATCTCCAGTGAAGGACGGTGTTAAGCTTCCAGAACATGTATACTGTGAGAAACTCTTAGCAGTCAGATTCCTGTCCCTGTCAGAAAATACCCGAGGGAACCAACTTATAAGGAAGAAAGTTTTGTTCAGGCTTCTGGGTTCAAAGCTTTCAGTTCACAGCTTCTGAACTCTGTCATTTTGGACCTGCTCACTTATGACACAGATACACACACACACACAGAGAGAGAGAGAGAGAGAGAGAGAGAGAGAGAGAGAGAGAGAGAGAGAGAGAGAGAGAGAGAGAGAGAGAGAGCTGCATAATGGGAATGGGCTGGGACTTCTCAAAGGCACATTCCTAATGACCTAAGTTACCTCTGCCTTAGCCTCCACCTCCTACCAATAACAGCACCTGGCAGACATCAGGGTCGCACACGTGATCTTTGGGGGGGCATCTGAGACTCAAACTGTAACTCCAACTCACAGTAGTTCTCAGACCCTAGTAAACCCTGACACCAACAACAAGCCATCCACCCTGGAAGATGGGCGGACCAGAGTTTGTCTCCAGAGAGTGCTGCACAGCGGCTCAGAGCAAGCCCACACCGAGATGGTCCTGAGGGCCAACCAGAGTTGTAGAAAGGAATGGCAGGTCTCAAGCGGCAGAGTTCTACCCACTCCGTTCCCCATCAAGGGACACGCTGCTTCTCGGCCTGACTTACCTCCTCGCGCTTGCCGCCCTCCCCAGGGCCCTGAGCCGCCGCAGCCATCTTCTTCTTCTCATGGTTGGTCCCCGCTCCCTGACTCGGGTCCTCTAGCATCGTTAGACTCCACTGACTCCTTAGCCTCGAGGTGACCAGTAAGCATTCTGAGTGTAGAGGAAAAGGGTCACGGGGGCTTCTGGGTGCATCCCACCTCTACCCGCCGGTTATCAGCTGATGGCCTTCCAATCCTCCCACTGAAAGGATGGAGAAAGCCCAGTCATGCTTCGACGAGTCCCCCACCCTACTGCCTGGGAAGCCTCCACCTGGAGCTGACCAAGAAAAAGGTTTCCATGTCTGGAAACCACAGACGGAAAGGACGCGGCCACTTACAAGTGGGCGTGTCCCCAAAGGTGGGTGGGAGGTGCTTTGATTTGGGGAGTCAGCATGGTGCCTGATCACGCGAGTGATCATCGCCAGCATTACCTTGAGGTGAGCAGGGCCTCGGGTCTTAGTCCTTCATCAGACCTCTGCTGTGGATACCTTTGACTGCCTCTCAACCGGACAAACCCCTTGCCCCCAACCTACAACTCCATAACCTAAAACGATGATGACATAGGAGCAGGGGTTCGTGGAAACCTGAGAGTTTGGAGCCTTGGGGGAAGAGCCCAGCAGGAGACAGCTGAGTGGAGAGGAAAAACGAGGAACAGCCTTCCGTGGGATAGCACAGGCACCAGCAACTGAATCAACTCCCCTCCCACCACCACCAAAGCCCCACTCCAGCTAATTCCCACCCCCTGTCCAGCGTGGGGATGGTGACCAGTGGCGGGGTTTGGGAAAGAAACTGAGGACTGGTTAGTGGCAGGGTTTCTCAGGCAGATCCTTTGGGAGTGTCCTGACCCCCAAATCACAAATATAACAACACATAAATACTTGTGTTCATAAACATAGGCTGTATGTATAAACAAAAACGAGAGGCTGAGCCACAGTGACAGGGAATCTGGTTGGAGACGAGGTGCTTCCTAGTGAGAGACAGACAAAGGCATCTGTAGCAGGGCTATTCGTAGCCCACCTCATCCTCACTGGCCCCAGGCCCATGGTTTTCTGCCAAGTTGGACTGGCATCCATGACTTCTCAGAAGAGGGACTCCACACTCCCCAACATTGGCTCCTAAGCCCCTGTCTCCAGGGAGTACCCTCCCTCCATGTCCCCCCCCAAGGCATCCTGGGTCACTTCACCTAGCCTAAGATGGTGGCTTCTGCCAAGACATTGCTCATCTAGGCCATATCCCAACAGCTCTCTGTGCCCCTCACACAGCTAACTTTAGAACCCCAGGAAACCCGTCCATTCTAAACTGACTCTCTGTCTTAAAGGGCCGTGCCAACCCATGCAGCCTTGGGATTTTATAAGGCTAAACAACAATTACCCATGATGTAGCTAGAGTAAGCTCATACCCATCCACGTAGAGAAGCGGAGGGAGCCAGATTGTCTGCCCAGTTGATGATGGCCGTATCACGTCCTTCACTTGGAATGGAGTAAAGAACTCAACTCTCTTCAGCACGTTCCTGAAAAACTATAACATGTCTTTAACATAAAAAAACAAAACTGCTCAGAGATGTCCACAGGGAGGATATGATCTCTATGAAGCTAAACAGGAGACAGAAGGCAAAAATTTCAACATTCCACAGGATGCTTCGTCTACTAAGTGGTCCCTCTGGGTTTTGCGACTAAGGGCGAGGATGAGACACAGTGGAAGAGTTGGTGTGCAGCCTTAAGTCCTGACTCTCACTTCTTAGCCACAGCACGGTATTTGGAGCGGTTGGATCTTTAAAGGTAAATAGGAGGAATGTTTTCTTTTTTTGCAAGAGTGTGTCATTTCATACCTATGACCACTTTGGTCACACCGATCCTGGGACCATACAGAGTTCTGTTTTGGGACCGACAGTGCTACTCCTGGGAGACCTTAAATGGCTTCTCTTTCTCTTTGTATCATCAAGTTCTACTTGGACCAGTCCTTCTTAGCCAGAAGAAGCCAGGTGCCCAGGACTTTGATTCTATCCACTGGATGATAAGACATCCAGTCCTGGCACTGGTCAGGGGTGCTCCTGCCTGGTAAGGAATCCCTAGTGTGGGTCCATGTGAGTGCGTCTCCAGAACCCTCCAGCAGACTGCACCCTCCATGTGAGCCGCCTCCAGCAGACTGCACCCTCCATGTGAGCCGCCTCCAGCGGACTGCACCCTCCATGTGAGCCGCCTCCAGCGGACTGCACCCTCCATGTGAGCCGCCTCCAGCGGACTGCACCCTCCATGTGAGCCGCCTCCAGCGGACTGCACCCTCCATGTGAGCCGCCTCCAGCGGACTGCACCCTCCATGTGAGCCGCCTCCAGCGGACTGCACCCTCCATGTGAGCCGCCTCCAGCAGACTGCACCCTCCATGTGAGCCGCCTCCAGCAGACTGCACCCTCCATGTGAGCCGCCTCCAGCAGACTGCACCCTCCATGTGAGCCGCCTCCAGCAGACTGCACCCTCCATGTGAGCCGCCTCCAGCGGACTGCACCCTCCATGTGAGCCGCCTCCAGCGGACTGCACCCTCCATGTGAGCCGCCTCCAGCGGACTGCACCCTCCATGTGAGCCGCCTCCAGCGGACTGCACCCTCCATGTGAGCCGCCTCCAGCGGACTGCACCCTCCATGTGAGCCGCCTCCAGCAGACTGCACCCTCCATGTGAGCCGCCTCCAGCAGACTGCACCCTCCATGTGAGCCGCCTCCAGCAGACTGCACCCTCCATGTGAGCCGCCTCCAGCAGACTGCACCCTCCATGTGAGCCGCCTCCAGCAGACTGCACCCTCCATGTGAGCCGCCTCCAGCAGACTGCACCCTCCATGTGAGCCGCCTCCAGCAGACTGCACCCTCCATGTGAGCCGCCTCCAGCAGACTGCACCCTCCATGTGAGCCGCCTCCAGCAGACTGCACCCTCCATGTGAGCCGCCTCCAGCAGACTGCACCCTCCATGTGAGCCGCCTCCAGCAGACTGCACCCTCCATGTGAGCCGCCTCCAGCAGACTGCACCCTCCATGTGAGCCGCCTCCAGCAGACTGCACCCTCCATGTGAGCCGCCTCCAGCGGACTGCACCCTCCATGTGAGCCGCCTCCAGCAGACTGCACCCTCCATGTGAGCCGCCTCCAGCAGACTGCACCCTCCATGTGAGCCGCCTCCAGCGGACTGCACCCTCCATGTGAGCCGCCTCCAGCAGACTGCACCCTCCATGTGAGCCGCCTCCAGCGGACTGCACCCTCCATGTGAGCCGCCTCCAGCGGACTGCACCCTCCATGTGAGCCGCCTCCAGCGGACTGCACCCTCCATGTGAGCCGCCTCCAGCAGACTGCACCCTCCATGTGAGCCGCCTCCAGCAGACTGCACACCACCGCAGCTGCTGTCTCGCTTGGGAATATGCTGGGTGAGGGATGTCACAAGTGCACATCTGGAAAGGGCCACACTGCGTTGCCCTCTGCCCACGCTGATGGGCAAACATCGGGGGGGGGGGGCGGGGAGGCCCCCTCAGACGTGCCTGAATCTGCTTGGGACGTTGTTCGGTCGGATGGTCGGTGACATGGGACAGGCAGAAAACAATGGCATCTCGAGTGAGGAAACCTTGTCCCTGCCTTTACTGCATTCCAGACTCATCTTTTGGTTGCTCACGTTCTTACATTCACAGAGGAGGTGGCGGCATGTCTCTCGGTTACCTGGGAGCAAAGGTCAGCTCCCAGGGTTGTCTGTTAGGGTGGCGCAGACACACTTTCTAGGAAACGTACAGCAGAAACGTAAAGACTGACGGGGCCCTATGTGTGATCACTGCAGACTGGCAAGGTGATTTGGGATTTTTACCTCCTATCGTATGTTTGAGCATGGATACTTGACTGTGTCTATGAGATCTGCGTTAAGGCGCACTGTCGGACGCTCCCACCTCTCTGTGAACTCAGGTGGCAGTAGACGCCAGGGACCGTCTGCAGGTGTCGTGACAGTCTGTCACAGAGTAACACAGAAGGCAAAACTGTAATCTATGGCTAAGAGAGAGCTACAAGCCCTGAGTCAAACCCAGACCCAGAGGTCAAACCTTCTTAACAAGCTGCACAGCCCAACGATGACATACAAGGATTAATGCGTTTGCCGGTTCCAAGTCTCCTCCTCTTTAAGATCTGTGGTGTTGAGACTGCCAATCAACCTCACACATTCTGTTGAGTAACTAATTGTCTTGCCGGCTCTGAGGATGAAGTGGGTAGACAGCCAGGGCTGAAGAATCGAAGAGGGCTGCTTTATTTCAGACGGCATTAATAATCCAAATGGGAAAACAGAAGGCCACCCCGTGGGAGCCGCAAGCTGGGTAGGACGGTAGAACCTCTGAACTATTGGTAACAGAGGGGCTCTAGCCAATAGGTTGCCAGTAAGTGTCACAGCTCTCTGACGAGTAAGTCTTCAGAAGGTGTGTTAGTCAGGGGTCTCTAGAAGAACAGAATTTATAGAAAGAATATATGTTCATATTTTCATATATATTCTTTCTATATCTATAAGCCCTGTTCTTATTTTATATATATTATATATATGTATATAATGTATATATATATTATATATGAAGGGGATTTATTAGAATGCTCTGTAGGCTGTGGTCCAGCTAGTCCAGCAATGGCTGCCTACCAAAGGAAGGTCCAAGAATCCAGTAGTCGTCCAGCCCCTGAGACTGGATGTCTCAGCTGGTCTTCAGCATACACTAGAACCCTGAAGAAGTAGGGTCCAATGCCCGTGACGGAATGGACTTGCTAGCGGGATTGAGGACAAGCAGGCCAAGAGAGCAAGCTCCTTCTTCTGTGTCCTTTATGTAGGCTGCCAACAGAAGATATGGCCCAGCTTAAAGGTGGATCCTTAATTGAAGTCCCCCATAGGTGCACCCAGCCATTTGGGTTTTAGTTAGTTTCAGATGTCACCAAGTTGACAACCAAGAATGGCCATCACAGAAGACACACCATTGAAAACAGCGGCAGAAGGAAAGAGGCCCGAGAGGCTGAGGTAGGAGTGAGCTCCCCTGCCAGCAGCGGCAGACGTTACAGGAGTGTGTCTAGGGAGTCTCACAGGCAGGAGTTGCCCCCTGTTTTGCCTTCCCCAAGGAGCTGTCTAATGAATTTGACAATACAGAGGCCATGAACCTAGTTATATAGACCCAGGCAGACTCTAATTGACTAGGTGTGTGTATGCAAATTAGGTGAAAACTATGAACCAATCAAGGGGGAAACCTGTTAGCCCAGCAAGCACAAACCCACAGAAAGGGTTCCCAACCAAGACAGTGGCTCCGTTTCTTTTTCAGATACAGTTGTCTTAGGGAAGCAAGAAACTCTGGGGTCAGAAGGGCACATCTGAGGCTCTTCTGTCTGTGTGCGAATATCACGGGCCACGCACGCTTTAGACACAGGCTCCTGATAGCACTGTGTAAAGGTTTAACCTTGTCCTTAAGCCCAGTGGTGAAGCAGCTTAGAGCAGAGGTTCTCAACCTGTGGGCCAAGATCCCTTTGGGGTTCACATGACCAGGTATTCACATTATGGCTCATAACAGTAGCAAAATTACAGTTATGAAGTAGCTATGAAAGTAATTTTATGGCTGGGGGTCACCACAGCGTGAGGGACTGTATTAAAGGGTTGCAGCATTAGGAAGGTGGGGAGCCACTGGCTCA